TCCCACCCTGGCTTCCTAAAGTGCTGGGATTATAGGCATGAGCCATCATCCAGTCTTGAAACTCATTTTTGGAGCCTGAGGGCCTGGGATAGGAGGCAAAGTTCAGGCAGAAGTGGGTATAGTCCTTGCTGGGCACAGGGCCTGCTTTCCTCTGTCAACAGTCTTGATCAGAGTTCCTGCTGCCTAGACTGGGCTTCCAGAAAACTGGCAAGGCTAGGTAGTCTTTCTCTCATCTGATGAAGCTTGTGATATTGTGCACAGCTGCTTACGCCAAAGCTTCTTTCTTGAATTTTCCAGAGAGGGCTGCTCACTGCCCTCAGTTAGCTTCTCTCCAGATTTTTGAGAATTTTCAGGATTGTATTCTCTCCTCAGCTTCATACATACATGTGGGGGGGGGGGGGTAGGTGAGTGTTAGGGGATACACCAGGGTCACTCATCAAAGAGAGACGAGAGAGTCTCCCGAGTTGGTTTTAAGGGCCCAGCCTGGGAGAGGCGTCTATCATTTCTGTCCCCACCCATTGGCCAGAACTCAGTCATGTGATCCCCACCGGTACAGGGAAGGCTGGGAAATGTAGTCTTTTCTGAGCCCACATGAAACAGGAAATTGGTGAACCCAAGCACGTGCTCCAGGAGAATCCTTTATTTTTCTGAGTCAGAGTCTCACTCTGTCGTCCAGGCTGGAGTGCAGTGGTGCTCTCACGGCCACCACAGCATTGATCTGCTAGGCTCAGGGGATCCTTCTGCCTCAGCCTTCCAAGTAGCTGGAACCACAAGTGTGTGCCACCATGCCCAGCTAATTTCTTTGATTTATTGTAGAGATGAGGTCTCCTCAAGTTGCCTAGGCTTGTCTCAAACCCCTGGGCTCAGGCAATCCTCTCACTTCAGCCTCCCAAAGTGCTGGGATTAAAGGCATGAGCCACCATGCCTGGCCTCCAGGAGAATCCTTTAATGGCTGTAATTTCCCTTTGGGCTCTGAAGATGTTAATTATAGTCATGTGTTGCATAATGGTGGGATCGGTTGTGATTTTGTTGTTGTGTGAGCGTCTCAAGTGAGTGAATACAAACCTAGACAAGATAGCCTACCCCACACCCAGGCTACATAGTACAGCCTGCAATGCCCAGCTGTAAACCTGCACAGCATGTGACTGTGCCTAATACCATAGGCAGTTGTTGCACAATGGTAAGTATCTGTGTATGTACACATAGGAAAAGAACAGTAAAAATACAGTACCAAGATGAAAAACGGTACAAAAACGGTGTAAGACACCAACCACGAATGGCGCTTGCAGGACATCTGAGTGAGTCAGTGAGTGGTGAGTGAATGTGAAGGTCTTGGATGTTACTCTTTTTTTTTGAGTTGGAGTCTCACTCTGTCACCCAGATTGGAGTGCAATGGCCGCTCCCTGCCACTGTAGCCTCGACCTACTGGGCTCCGGTGATCCTTCTGCCTCCGCCTTCCAAGTAGCTGGAACTACAGGCGTGCGCTACCCCACCCGGCTAATTTTTGATTTATTGTAGAGATGAGGTCTTGCCAAGTTGCCCAGGCAGGTCTTGAACCCGCGAGCTCAGGCAATCCACTCGCCTCGGCTTCTCAAAGCCCTGGTATTACAGGCTGAGCCACTGAGCCTGGTGGATGTTACTTTAGAAAAATTTTTTAACTAAACATTATGAGGGCTCACTATGTTGTGTCATTCAGGCTGGTTTCGAACTCCTGGGTTCAAGCAATCCTTTCTCCTAAGCCTCCCAAAGTGCTGGGATTACTGTAGACTTTATCAACATTGTACACTTAGGCTTCACTAAATTTATTTCAAAATATTTTTCTTTCTTCAGAGGCTGGGTGCAGTGGATTACTCCTGTAATCCAGCACCGTGGGAGGCGGAGGCGGGAGGATCACTTGAACCCAGGAGCCAGCCTAGGCAACATAGCTAGATCTCGTCTCTACAAAAATAAAAACATCAGCAGTCATGGTAGTGTGTGCCTGAAGTCTCAGCTACTCAGGAGGCTACAGAAGAAGGATTGCCCTAGGAGGTTGAGGGTCTGGCGATCCCTGATCATGCCATTGCACTCCAGCCTGGGCAACACAGTGAGACCCTGACTCAAAAAAAAAAAAAAAAAAGTGAAAGGAGTATACTCTAAACTAACGGTAAAAAGTATAAGATAGTAAGTACTTAAACCAGTGATGGAGTTTGTTTCTTGTCCTCAAGTATTGTGTTCTGTGCATAACTATATATGCTAGACTTTTATACAACTGGCTTCAAAGTATATTCATTTACAAACACAAACACGTGGGTAATGCATTGTGCTGCGACATTACCGCAGCTACAACATCACTAGGTGGTAGAAATCTTTCAGCTCTGTCCTAACCTTATGGGACCACTGTCCACTGGAGATGTCGCTGTGACTGTAGAGATGGGGCGTGACTGTAGACTGCTGCTAGAGGTGTGTTCCAGTTCCTGTTTTTCTGTTTCCTTGAGTGTTAGTTCTTCCTGAGTTTAGCGCTCCTCTTCCTTGGCGCTGGCTTCCCTCTGATGTTTGGTGGCTTCTAGTTCTGTGCTCATCGTGCCTGATGAGGGGGGTCTGCGAATGAGGTTTGTGAACCCAGCTCTGAGGGTGGTGGGGGGCAGTGGGTGAGGCTGCAGGAGTCTCCTTGGGGAAGACACTTGGCCTCTGGCTTTGTGGCTTGCGTAGCCAAGCCATGTGGGTGTCCTGACCCACGGATGCTGTTGCTGCACCCCACATCTGACCTCCCACACTCTTGCTGGATCATCCAAGCCTCTCCACCTTCCCCAGAGCATCCCCTCTGCTGCCTTTTGGGCTGTGACCTCCGTCTTCTACACGACCTCCTCTGCCTACGTTTTTAAGGGAGTCGTGATTTCTGGGCTACCAGATTCGCTCCATCTTGTTCTCCAGACCTATTATGCATTCATTAATTTATTCTTATTTTTACCAGGGATAGGTTTTTATTGAGATAAAAAAATTCACATAGCATTAAATCATTTTACTAGTTTACACATTTTGAAGTGTACAATTTGACGATTTTTTTTTGAGTTGGAATCTCACTCTGTCGCCCAGACTGGAGTGCAGTGGCCACTCCCGGCCATCGCAGCCTCGACCTGCTG